AGGCAATTATATGCTCCTTTCCAAATCAATTTCCCTTCTCTGGATATGGAAGCTACTTTCTACCTCTCTTTTCTTCTCCTCCGCCTTCATCTCCTTCCTCCCTCCACTGGTTCAATATCATTTCATAAAACGCGATTCGAACCAAGCGACACCTACGAAGGTAGCGCGACTTCTTTTGTAGGGGTCGTCGACCTTAACGATGACTCGTACCAATGTCAAGTTGGTCGAGCAACTTATGGGATTCCCAAACAAAAAAGCTCTCCGATTTCACTGCCTATTTCTCTTCTACAGTAGACATTCAACGTCGTCCTATTTTTGGTGCTGGTTTTACTTTCTTTATCGCTCCGGTCTATTTTCATGTTCCGATGAACTCCGCCGGAGGTTTTATTGGACTTTATAATATCACAACGCACAAATCCTCAACTCCAAACCAAATTCTTCATATTGAATTTTACTCGCAACCGGACCTCGACCGGACCTCGAATGGGATCCTCCCGTTGAGCATATCGGAATTAATATAAATTCCCTCTCTTCAGTTACATATGCTCCTTGGAATGCGACTTTACACAGTTCAGATACCGCTGATGTATGGATTGGTAGGATTAATTCAAAATAATATTATGAAAAATCTATTAAGATTTCAATTTTATTTAGTGCAGATTTTCTGTATAGAATTTGATATTTTTGTTATTTGTTATTAGGATTAATAATTTTTAAGAGTATTTTTAGGTCTTATTTAATTCACTTGTAAGTCTATAAATATGCACATTTTTTTGTTAATTGAACGAAGTGCTAAACATTGTTAATCACCTTGTGCATTTCTATTCTTCCTTCCCAAAAAATTTCAACATGGATTTCTTATAATGGAAGCACAAAAAATCTTACTGTTTCTTGGAAATATAGAATTACTGCAAATTCTCAAGAAAGTAACAGTCTTTCTTACATTGTTGATCTCAGAGAGTTTCTTCCTCAATGGGCAAAATTGGGTGTCAGCTGCGACAAAAGATTTCTTTGAACGACACGCAGTTATTCATGGGATTTCAGTCAGTTCAAGTTTGGAGGCAGATGAAAAAAAATCCAAAAAATGCTAAAAGGTTAGGACTTGTACTGTTTATAGCAGGACCAATTGCTATTCTTTTACTAGGTGTGATGCCTATAGTAACAGGTGTTTGGTGCAGAATAAAGTTAATGAAAGGGAAGAAAAAGAAAATAAACTTAACTTCAATCGATAAAGATATTGAAAAGGGGACAGGTCCACAGAGATTTTCTTATAATGATCTTGTTTTAGCTACGAAAAACTTCTCCAGCGAGTCCATGTTAATTCCAGAAATGCAGTAATTTTTGGTAGTGATGCTTAGTTAATTAACGTAAAAATACACAAAATGTATAATAAATTAAAAAATACACAAAATGTATAATAAATTAAGGTAACACTTCTTTTTTTTTAAGGAATTAAGATAAGGTGAAACATAACTTAAGAAAAAAATAGTTTTTATGGTCAAGAGATGTTACATCAATTGTAAAAAATGAAACATTCTATTATATCGTCTCTAATTTTTATGTCTTCATTAACACTTTTGCCCTCTTATTTTTTAAAAATAATTGTAAAGTCCCTAATTTTTGCTTCTATTTTACGCTCGGATTCTTCTATCCAAAAACAAATCATTTTAAGCAGGTTAATTATGACATAGTTTAGGAATCTAAATGCATTTTATCCTACTTTGATTATATTTAAAAAGATCATTTTTTTTTTCTTTTCAATTGATAGTAAATAACTCACTTTTTAAATGAGATGATCTGACAATGAAATGAAAGCAAAAACTCTAATTGTATAATTATTTCTTGAAAGTATAGGAATGAAAATGTTCTTATGATTAATTTTGATTGCCATTTTTGCAGAGAAAGTACCTCTTTGGGATTCAAAAATGAACCAACTCACTGATTTCACTACCGATTTCTCTTTTTACATCGATATTCAAGGCCGTAACCAGTATGGTTCTAGTCTTGCTTTCTTTCTTGCTCCCGTTGGATCTCACATCCCACTAAATTCTGTTGGTGGTTTTTTTGGCCTATATAACTTCACAAACAGCGATTCAGCTGAAAATCAAATGGTTCATATTGAATTTGATTCTTACTTTAATCGCGAATGGGACCCAAATTTTCTTCATGTGGGTATTAATAATAATTCAATTCATTCTTCCGTGTTTACTCATTGGAATGCTAGTTTTCACAATGGTGATCCTGCTAATATGTCTGTTGCTTATAACTCAAAATCCAAGAATTTAAGCATTTCTTGGAAATATCGAAAATTTAAGCATTTCTTGGAAATATCGAAATCTTCAATTCCTTCAGAAAACACAAGCCTTTTGCTTATTATTGATCTCATGATGATTCTTCCTGAATGGGTCATTATTGGGTTTTCTGCTAATACTAGCAATCGCATAGAACAACATGTTGTTCAATCATGGAAGTTCGATTAGAATTTGGAGATACATGAAGAAAAAGAAATAAATCCTTCAAAATTACGGCTTGTAGAAGGTTTAGCAGTTTCAGGAACTATTCTGTTAACTGCTACCGCTACATTTGTTATTTTCAGCATAAGGAAGTGGAAGATAAAGAGTTCAAAAGGGAAAATGAGTTTGAAATCAATTAACATTGAACTTGAAAATGAAACCGGACTGAGAAGTTTTTCTTACAAGGATCTTGTAAACCGGAATGAGAAGTTTTTCTATACAAGGATTCTTTGTTAAAAAGCTACAAGTAAACTTCTCCAAATAGAGAAGAAGTTAGGTCAGGCAGGGATTTGGTGCTGTACAAAGGACTATTTAATCACTTTAAGTCACTTAGGCAGAACTGTTGCTATGAAGAAAATTTCAAGTAGTTCATAAGATGGAAAACGAGTATATGTCTGAGGTAAAAATTATTAGCCAATTGAAACATAGAAATCTTGTGCAACTTATTGGATGGTGTCATGACAAAGGCAAATCGGAATGATTGTTTCAGAGATATGGCAATAAGACTGCTTTAAAGGAGGATTACTAGCTTCTTGAACTTTTTTTAGGGTCATCGCTCCCTGAGTTCAAGAGTCTACACTCTCGCGTCATACGGCTCTGCCTCGAAATCAGGACCTCCCCTTTTCTTTGACCAACGGTCCTCGAACCAATCTTTCCTCTGAGGAGGCTCTTTCCTTCTTTCCCGTCAAGATGTGCCCTTGAATTTGAATCAAGCCTCGAAGCATGCGGTGGGAACATAACTTAGGAACTCTCTCGTAACATAACTTAGGAACTCTCTCGTAGATGATTTTCTGCCATTTTCCTCCTGCACCCGTTCCTAATCAGATCCAATTTGGCTTTTTCTTTAAGTGAAGGAAGACTTGGTGGCCTAGTCTTACGATTCCGAGCAAAAGACCTAAATCAGCATGACTTTTAGGCAGGAGTAGCAGAAGGGACCAAGATTCCTTACAACTCGCACCAATAGTAGCACTGAACGGCCGGAGATTGATTTAAAAGGCAGCCCAGCCGCCCCTCCCTTAGTGGTGGGCACCGGGGCCAGAAATCAATGTATAAAGGAACGCTTTGCTTGAAAAAAGAATGATGAAGGGCGGGTCAGAAAGGATGACACATTTGTTATCTCCAGTTTGAAACTAACAGTTTGAAACTAAGGGTCTGGAGACTGACAAACTCGCCTGCAAGCAAATAGAGTAGAGAGCTTACCCTTTCTTTTTATTGGAGTTGCGAGCTTGTTGTAGTCGGTCCTAAAGGCTAAAGGGATAACCTTTCTTGTTTATGAGATCATGCCTAATCGGAGTCTTGATGCTCACGTCTTCGAGAAGAAATTTCCTTTAACTTGGACCGCAAGATACAAAATTGCTCTAGGTTTAGCTTCAGCTTTGCTCTACATCCATGGAGAAATTGATGGAGGGAAATGTGTGTTACACCGCAATATTAAACTAAATAACATAATGGTAGACTCGAGTTTTAATGTTAGACTTGGTGACTTTGGATTAGCTAAATACATGGAGCGAGAATTGGGGTTACAGACAACAAAAGTGGTATATAGCTCCAGAGTATATAAGTACAGGTAGGGAGAGTAAAGAGTCTGATGTTTATAGTTTTGGGTTTATTGTATTAGAGATTGTGACCGGAAGAAAAATGAGTCGACTTGTTGAGCATAATAATGAAATGATGACATCGGTGGACTGGCCTAGGGATCTTTACGGAATTGCGAATTTAAGAACGGGAGTTGATGAGATACTTGAGATGGATTTTGATGACAAACAAATGGATTGTTTGATGGTTATTAGATTGTGTTGTGCTCATTCTGATAAAAAGATTAGGTCTCCTATAAAGCAAGTAATTCGCATGCTAATTTTGAAGTTGATTTACCTAATTTTGAAGTTGATTTACCTAATCTTGAAACAGGAAATTCAACAAATCCTGTTAACGTTTGAAAAGGAGAAAATTCAGCAATGGCAGTTAATGTTCCAGAAGGAGAAAATTCAGCTGGGGATTCTTCTAGCTCTGCACAAATTCACAAAATTTATTGTCATATTCAAGTTTTGGAGGTCGTTAAACAAGCAATTATTGTTTAATTGAGAAAATTCTTCAGAGGATACAATTTACTCCTACTCATTCAGCCGCATTGATGAAATACTGTAATATTTAATTTTTAAGAAATAAAAATCAAAAAAATTGAACCAAATTTTTATTGATAAAAATTGTCTCTTCATACAGTAAATAACAAAAATATTATTCAATTCCAAAATCATGCTTTCACCTTTTCACCACTCTAATAACACCCAAAAATTACACATTATACTTTTAAGCAACAACTTGTTGCAAATGGGAAAATCAATAAAATGAAAAATGAAAATCACCAATGTAAAAAAAATCTCCTTGAAAAAAGAACCCAATTAATTAAAAGAAGCACACTGTTTTCCTCGAATTTTCACCTCGGCTGCCCAGTTAAAACTCCATAGCGCCCCAGTCTTGACCATTGAACTACCAAAATCTTGTTTTAAAAGCTGGTTCCATTTGGGGAAGGATTGACGCAAAAACATAAAGTGGGGAAGATTGACGCAAAACATAAGTTCTCGTTTGAATATCATTCAGAAGAGCCGCATCAGATTGGAAGATCCCTCTTCTTGTATTTACTACGTTGTAATAATCACTGTCGAATGTTCTGGAGCTTCCAGGATCCATTTCAACAACTGTGGTGCTGTCTCCAGGCTTACATTTCGTCTTTAACTCAGCTGCATATGTTGCGTTCAACGAAGGGTCAGTGTCGCCTCTACCACTAAAATTGTACAATCGATCTGAGATTACAAAGCATTGTCCAATTCCAATAGTGTGCGCTCCTGCACCAAAAATAACAATTTAAGTTTAAAAATGTCGAGGATCTATTGGCCCGTCGACCATGGTTAAGTTTCTACATAAATTAAATTTTTCTTGGATCAAATTAATAAGATAAAAATTCTTATTGATGATTAAAAAATGCTTGATAATTTAGGTTTTTCTTTCTTTGGCAAACATAAAATTATATTACCTGATAAAACCACTAGGTCCTCTACACTTAGCCCTTTTGCAGCAAAATTTTTCTTCAGTTGAGTTATATTGGCAAAAGGAGATGGTAACTGTGCTGAAGCCTCCGAAGCATTAGACACACTTCCATCTCTACGTCCGGTAGGAACATCCCAAGATGGTCCTCCAATCTGACATATTAAAAAAAAAAAGTTTATGTAAATATCAATAGTTTATGAATTAGACATAAGCAAGTTCTGATGATTTTCTGAATAAGAAAAAGTTGATATTGATTATACCATTTGAACAGAATCTCGAGCTGCCAAAGCCAAAATATCAGCACAAGAAACAACACCAGTACAGTTGTTTTCTATTTCAGATTTTCTATTTCAGATTTTATAGCATCAATTACATTAAAACCTCTTAAAGTTTGGTTTGGGATCGCATCTTTCTCAGCTTGGTTTGTACTCGTAGAATTTAATAGCACAGAGCCATCACATCCCTGCAAAATAGAATTTATATTTATTGATACTAGTTGTGACAAAATAATATTTTGTGGTAACAAACTTTTTGTCATAATAAATTAGTTAAGTTTAAATGAAACAAATTAACTTGCCGTATAAATTGTTATACTTACAACAAAAACAGGATTTTGTCACAAGAACACTTATCGAGACAAAACTTCACTTATCGAGACAAGCTTATTGTGACGAAGTCAGTAACAAACTAAATTTATAACGACGATTAAGGACGTACGTTGCTGCATATTAAGGACTTACCCTAACGAAACAATCATGAAAATGCATCCTTAGTAAAGGAGCAGCAAGAGTTGGATCACTGGAAATAAACTTTTGAACGACATTGTGGACAATAAGCTCTGCATTAGGGCATGTCTGCTTATAGAAGCCTAGTTGTAATCCTTTGGAATTAGTTAGGTCTAAGCCTAACCCAATATTTAAGTTTAACAATTGAGAATTAGTTGAGCTTAAGAAAAGAAAGAAGAGAATTAGTAGAGGAAAGAGAAGTGAAAGAAGCTTTTGGATCGCCATTGTCTAAGCTGCTTGAAGAAGTGTTTTCTAGGCCTAAAGCATATTGGAGAAATTAAGAACGGTATTTATAGTTAAGCTAAATATATATTAGAGAACAATTTTTCAATTAGTTGACTCTTAAGGTCAAAATAATTAGAAAGTTGACTAATGGCCTCTCTTAGCAAAATACATGCATGCCACTCATAGCTCCAAACAAAATAATAATAGTAATAATCCAATTAAATACTTGAGTTCAAAAGACTTATAGCTTATTAAGTATTTTAAACTTCATTTCAGGTCATATTATAAATAGTTGGATTGGAAAGTCAATTAAGTTACATTTACTCTGATTTCAATGATTTCAATTTAAATTTGATATTTGATCATCTTGATGAAAATTGATGGATTTTTAACTAGTCAGTGTTACAATTTAACCAGAAAAATTATTCAAGATAGAAGATGAAGGGTAAGACTACTATTTAGAGATGAAAAATTTTATATACATACACAAATAGTTATCTTTTATTAGATTTAAACTATTTAAATATAGGCCATTAAATCTAAAAATATATGTTAACTTGCTACTTATAAAACTAGTAATTCCTTACTCATGTATTATTAATTATATTTATCATTATAATAAAAAACTTGTTTTGTCAATCTAAAAATGTCAGAGAATTACAACAACAAAAATATCAAATATTTTTTCATAAATAATGAAAATAAAAATTTATTAAATTTAAAAAAGTTATTGAACTATATTTACCTTCTAAAATAAAATAAAATAAAATATTTTCTTCTAAAATGAAATAAAAAAAATATTTTTCTTATAAGATCATTATGTAAATAATATTTTAAATTTGTTATGTTAATGCTAATCATAATATAATTCATGGTCCAATTCTTATACACTCTTCCATTATTAGTTATAATGTACTAATAACTCAACTTTTTTTTTACTAAAATTATCTTATAATTTATACAATTCTAATTGTTTAATTTGAATTTTATTTGTGATCTACAAAAAACGATTCAAAACTTAATTTTTTGAATTTATCTATTATAAGCTTGACTTTATAGAAAAACAAGTTTATGATCTATTAGATTTCAAAACAATAATAAGATTAATTGAATACATAATAATAATTGCATTATTCCAATACAAAATTAAAATATAATGGTTGATGATCGAATTTATAACACTCACTTTAATTTTTAATTAAAAATTTAATACTTGTTCTTTTTAAAATTTTATTGTAAAATTCATAAAAGCCATAACTAATTGCTTTAAAAATATAACTTCAAAATGGATTTTCATATCAGAGTTAATTATAAATTATATAACCCATATCTATAAATTTTTTTAATATGTATTAAGATTGTTTAAAGATTTTTATAAAATTAATTATCTTAAAACGTTATTTCTTGTGTTTAAAATAATTTCAAGTACCTTACCATTTATATTAAAATTCTATTTTAATTATCCACATTCACATGCTTGTGTTTAAAATAATTTCAAGTACCTTACCATTTATATTAAAATTCTATTTTAATTATCCACATTCACATGCAATCAATAGAAATATCTCATATTAATGTCGTGTTATGCAAAAAAAAAAAAAATGATCTTTGAAAAGTTCACTGCATTTTAGGGTGGAAAATGATTTTCTAAAAGTTAAAAAAAATTAGAAAAAGAAAAAAATAGAAAATCTCATGACCTGCCTAGCAAGTTAGCCTGTCTAAATGGCATGCAAAGAGAGTATTTATACAATTTTTGAATTTTATATTATAGTAAAAGCCCAAGTTGAAAAATATACCAATAACAATAGAACAAAATGATTTTCCCATAAATTCCATGTGGGAGGGATTTAGTAGCTTGCGATTTTTTTTTTGTAAGTCCTCCGTTCTTTTTATACAGGCACAACCAATTTTTCATCAAGTTTTAAAAAGTAGTTTAACTAACTTTTTTTTGTTAGTAGTGTAAACTAACTTTTTTTGTTATTTTTGTTCTTAATTTACCCCTAATATATCATTTATTTCTATTTTTTTCTTAATTTACCCCTAATATATCATTTATTTCTCCTCTAATATCAATGCATGTCTTAAATTATGTTTCAATCTTCAATGAGATTTTAAATGTTTTGTTGAAATGAATAGAATACAAACAGTTAAAAAAATGAAGTTTATGCTCTAACGTGCAGGAGTAATTCATTTTTTGTCCTTTATTTGGGAAAGTTATGTGAGAATATGAAAATTTATGTTCATTTAACCTTTCAACTACTTTTAATTATTGAAAATATACTTTAAATATTGCATGATTTTTAAATTTTCTGCGAAGTCCGTAAAAATTCCTTTCAATGTAGCCAACTTGAAAATTCTATGGTCTTTTTCTATTCAAACTTCATTTTAATCAATGCACATATAGCCTATATGAGCACTTTTTTTTTTTTTTTTTTTACAATGGAAATTGATGTAAAAAATCTATTCACCAAAATTTATTCACATTAAGTGTTCATCTATACTTTTGTCTGCCACTATCTTAAAAATCTCTCGAACTAAAAGCTTTACAAATGATTAAAATAAAGGGAAGATAGACATTTCATATTGGAATGTTCTCAAAATTACTAAATTAGGTAAAATTTTCTATACAAAAGAACATCCAAAATGAAAATTTTTCCTATATAAAAAGAACAGTGAAAAGAGGGAGTATTTTTCTTCTTTTTATCACCAACTAATAAGCACTCATAAAAAGAGATAATAATAAACTTCATTTTTAATATCACATCAATAGCTGTTGAACTTGGGATGTCAACATGCTATATCAATGGAGAAGAAGCAACACAGGGAAGAACATGATTAGCACCAATTCCTAATTAGCAATTGCTTTATTTCTTATATAATTTTATTAAAATAATTTTTAGTGGACTAATATATTGGCTTTTATTTTTTCCTTTTTCCCTGAAGTTAGGACTCAACTCAAAACTTGTAGATATAATAATTGCATTTCATTATTAATATTTTCTTTTTTCAAACAAGCCAAGTTGTGATTAGGATGGTAATGGGTATGGTTGGGATCATGTAGTGCAATATCCATACCCAAATTCAATTCTATTCTCAATCCTATATCCATACCCAAATTCAATTCTATTCTCAATCCTCATATGCTATGTAATATCTTATCGGGTACGAAATATTTTATCAATCTCTAAAGTCAAAGGGTTTAGGTATTTCTATGGATACCCATTATCCGTTGATATCCATTTATCCATTTATTCATTTTTTAAAAGTTAAATTATATTGAACGAAAAAATTAAATAATTGTCCAAATGATTTATATAATACATAAAAAATATGAAAATAAATTAATACATAAATAAATATCTGAACAATGGTAAATTAAAATTTTAATTTTAATTCTAAAGTTGTTTTTTTTATTATACGAATATTCCAAATCACTATTACCATTATGATTTTTCTCCATTATTTGAACTGAAATTAAATATTAAAAATTAAATTTTGAATTTCAAAATCTAAAATTTTAAAAATTCGATCAATTCAAATTAATATATGAAAACTTTAGTGAACTGATTTTGCACTATTCTACATTAAATTATAATTTTTATAGATAATCTACTACAAGTAATATTTGAGATCCATCAAGAACTCCGCAATCAACTAGAGATGCACTATCTCCATCTTCATTATTTATAAAACGACTTTGATTGTTATCAAGAAATAGAATCAGACGATCACGAGGTAACTCTTGTTGTGCACCGATCTCTCGCTTAAGATCGGCAACCGTGGCATCATTGCCCAGTTGAACGTAAAAGAGGCTTCCTGTCAATATCTCCACCGCCACCTTCATTCTAAATCCAAAAGTTTTAATATTTTGTTTCCATTCTCAATCTGATTTGGTGCTCAATCTGATTTGGTGAGAGAGATGAAGGGAAAGAAAGGAATAGAGAGATCTTTGCAATGACCGATTATTACTATCGAAAGGTGTTCACGTTTGCTGCATTGTCGCTAGTTAGTTTGCTACATGCATATATTATGACTTGCGTGTATAAATACAAATATACATACAAGACAAACTTGTGCAATTATTATTTATTTTAGGACAAAAATCATAATGTTTATATTGGGAATTTAGGATATTCACATCCAATCAATATAATTAATTTTCTACCATAAGAAGTAACTCTACCATAAGAAGTAACTCGTATGATACGGTATATTTAAAAATAATAGAAAAATTCACTCCATGACAAACGTTTGTGGAAAGAAATAATAATAAACCTAAAACGATATTAATCTCATACAGTCATAAATGAAAAAAAAAAAAATTGTATAAATAGTCCTATTTAAAGCCCACAGTGATATATAACCAAAGTTTTAATTATGCACAATAAGACATAATCCAGCGGTAAATGCATTTCGACTTAATAGTAGATCTAGGTTCAAATTTCCCTTTTCCTAATATTCAAAAAAAAAAAAAAATTCTTAATTACAATCTAATATGGCCAATATTTTCCTTTTTCTTTTTCTTTTTTTTTTTTTTTTTTTTTTTTGAGAAGGCAATATTTTCCCATATGAACTTCTACCATCTGACTTTTTGACATCACGAAATGGCTTCTTTCACATTCTTTTAGTTTTTTGGGCTTCCAATTGATTGTCCGGCAAATACTTGAAATAAATTGAGCGATGGTTGACTTCCGTCCAAAATACCACTTTTAATTATAAACTCACCAAAAAATTCGTTTTTAAATTATAATCAAACTAACCATGAATCTCTAAGTTATTCCGTTAACATTTTAGTCTTTCTCTTATGACTTCTATTAACATTTTAATCTCTCTATTTTGGACAGAAAGATTAGAGTCATAATTTAAAAACCTTATACTTAATTTTTTAAAATAAAAATCATCATGTGTTAATTTGATTATAATCTATGCTACGTGTAAGCATGGAAATAATTAGGGTAAAATTGAATTTTCAATAGTGTCTTTAATAAAATTTGAAAATC